AATTTGCAACGAGTCGGCCTGAACTGAATCTGAACGCGTTCTTTCGTTTCACTTTAACAAAATCGCCTAGCAGGCCAGGTAGGTGGTAGCAGAGTCTCGAGCAGGCCAGCAGCGCCAGTCCCCAGCACGCTCGCCGACTAGCCCAACCGCGTGCTCGCCGCCGTCTGCCTCCCTGGCCGTCGTCGCCACGGCTATGGACTGCCTTCTGTTTTCCACAGCTCCACCCGCGAACCAAGCGCTCGCTGCTTCTGGGGATGAATGGATCCCCGTGGCCATGCACTGCGTCACGCCGTCACCTGAAGCTGAAGGCAACCAGGTTGCAGTGACGCCAACTGCCGTGATTAGGCCCAAACTCCTCACGCCATTCAGATTCAGCCACACCTTTGGGCCTGTCCATGGCAAATTATGGCTAGGAACCAACAAGCCAGCCAGCCTCCACAGCCAGTCAGCCTAGGAACACCTACAGGCGTGTATGCTCCAGGCTTCAGCATCCAATACGATTGCCATCGCGGGTCAGTCAAAATAATCTGAACATCAATGACGACGACGCGTGACACTACATGAAGAGAAACAAGTCCGTCAGATAACCATCAGCTGGACATGTCCGGTGGTTGCAATGCCTTCTTTCTGTCAATAAAAACATTGCTCACTGCTGCCGTTCTTGCCAATACAAATTCCTGCTAAACACTCACTGTACTGTAGACAGTGACCACCGGACCCAAATCCACATCCAAAAGAACAATGGACAGAGCGTAGATCACAACTAGACTGCTCTAGGACTAGCCCCACCTCTCAAGGTCAAGGTTGCTCGCCCATCACCAAGAGCTGAAAACAAAACCTGCAGCTCTGCAAACAGATAATAAAACATTTCTCACAGAACACAGAAAATCCACACCATGGGTCAAACATCAAAACACCCATAGTAAAGTCTCCGAACTGAAATCATAAACCGTCAACATGATCAGGCAACATTTTAAGTTAGCATCACTCCCAGCTGCTTGCCCCTTTCCTTATTTCAGAGTAAACCAATACAACAGATGCGTATGAGAGCCTGAACTGGAGAAAATTGTGAACCAGAATCGACTTCAACCTCCAAATCCCATCACAAAGAAATGCTTGAGCTAAGCAATAGAACAAAGCCAGTGCATTTCTAGTTTCATTCATATCATAAAGTATGGTTCAGCAATGTACATGGCAATGCCAGGACGCATTGCTTGTCGATACTAAACAGAGCTAAAAAGGTAGATAGCATGTTGCAGAAACTTCCCATTCATGTCCAACCATAGCGCCATCACTGCTACTGGTTACACTATTCTTACACACTACTAAGTTAGGATAACCTTGTATAATAATACAACTATATTAGGTCCACATGACAAAACACTGGTGCAATCTGATCAGCACTTTTGCATGATACTAGCACACGATCAACCGTTAACAAAATATCTTGTGCCCGGTGAGGCTGCTCCGCCATGGCATGCTTCATCTGCAGAGCTTCGTCCCTAACTGAGCTCCATCGAGATCCATGCTCTCCCTGGTGTCATTCCTTTTATCAGGGTTTGCTATCAACCCAACAAGCTGTTTTCCTCCCTGCAGCACAATACCACGAGTTATGAAATGCCGAAGTGCTTTTAAAAAAAAATCACAATGAAGCTTCATAGCAGTAAGCTAGAAAAAAGTTCCATAGATTGGATGGACCATAAGGCTTTCTTTCTAACAATATTACAAGTAGTTCTGCAGCAAATTCCAAGCAATGAAAGAATCTCCTAAATCAGGAATGGCCAAAGATGTTTTCAGATTTAGATGCACCTTCAATATATTGACCAATTGTCATTGTCTCAACGTGAGCCAAATTGCTCCGTTGTCCCAACTCCCAAAAGACTGCAGTTGTCGTAAATAGGTATAACAGATTATTCAGACTTCAGAGCACAAAAAAGTGCTGAGAGCAATTCAGGACTAGTGTTGGACAGTAGATTGGATAGTAGCTCGCGGCTTGCCAGAGGCCGGAGCTCGACTGCACGCACCCCGGTCGTTGGGGAGTTCGAGCTGTGAGCACATCTTCTTGACTGCAGACTGCACCAAGCACCATCCACTCTCTCCACGTGCTACGGTAATCTACTGATTCTTTTTCTCAAATCTCAATCCTTTTAGCTAGAGTAGTAGTACTACTTGGATTCGTCACTCGTTAGTAGATTGGATAGTGGATACCAGAGATCTGTTAGTAGAAGCAGTACTCCTATTCATTAGTACAAGTACTACTGCTAGTCTGCTACTTGATTAGTTAGTAGAAATTAATACGTACCAGATCTATTAGTAGAAATTGTACTCTTATACAGTTATACTTAGATCCTTTAGTACCTAAAACTACTACTGCTACTTGATTAGCTAATAGAAATGCAGCTAGTACTTTAATCATTAGAAGCACACTGAAGCAATGAAGCTAGATCTCTGTTTTGGTGTTTCCTGTCTTGACTGTGCTCCTTTTTTTGCACAGCGATGGTGGTCACAAGGTCAGCAAGCTCTTCACAAGCTGCGGCAGCTTCTGGTGCACCATCTTCTGATACACCTCCTAGTGACAACCAACTCCAGGGAGGTGTCACAGCTCAACCTGAAGTGCTGCAGGTTATTGATTCACAAACTGATGGTATTGATTCAGAGGTGGGGCAGCAGCAGCAAAAAAGAAAAAGCTTAAATCTATTGTTTGGGATGAGTTTAAAATGTTGGAAGTAGGTGGCAAATGGAAGGCAGAATGCACGTGGTGTCATGCAATTGTAATACTGCTACTTTATTTGCTTGCCTAAATGCCTGGACATGCAATTGGAATATTGGATTGGTGCCTTAGTGCCTTCTGCCTTGCAGCCATGCTGTGCTGCCGGGTGGATCACTAAGGCTAATCTAGTTGCAGGTTTCTATTTAATTGTGGTTTCTTATTGTAAAAAGTTATATTCTGTCAGTTAGGACTGTGGCTAAATACCTATTCAAATAGGGTGTTTAGCCTCCACGGCCCCCGTTGGGGTTCGGGCATCCGACGGGGAACGGGATGGGGCAAGTTTTGTCCCCGTTTAGCTTATCGGGGACAGGGCGGGGATTTGAGTTCGGGGATCGGGGCGGGGCCGGGGGTTGTTAGAACGTTAATCATGTTTAGCTTGTAGCTCTTTCATGAACAAATGGTCTGAGCAGAAACATGTGCTAAATCACCTCTGACTTATAGCCTGGTATGATAAACTGATGTAGGATTGATGCAACCTGTTTTATCCGCTTTTTCATATGCTGTTTCTGAACGGTTTCCAGCTATGTTAATCAAGATCACTAAAATTTGGTAACTATAACTATGCTATGAGTAACCTGTTGGACCTTGATAATGTAATAGCTAGGCTGTATGTGAGCAACAGCAGCCCTAGTACTTTTGTAATGCTAAGCAAAATTTGTTCTTGATTTTGTGGATACAACAAGCATACAAGGCAACTTGAAAATTATATAGAATGATCATTACCACACAAGGCCACAGGGTGTCTTAGGGAGATTGGCTCAACCTCATCTGAGACAGTATTTGTCTTCAACATGCGCATGTTTAAACAATGAGAGTTAAAGCAATTAAGTCTAAGGTCATGTTCTTTGGACATGCACTACTCATCCCAGCAAGCTACTTTAAACACCAGTAGAGTGTTAGTTAATTATCTAACATTTCATATGGAAAGAGCACGCCAGGAGGTCTAAACATACACAACCATACATGAGTACAAATATAACACAAGTCACTACGACATTCGGAAATTAACAAGCGAGGGCAACAGTAGCACAACCAGCATAGATTATATAATTAAACAATAGCACTTTTCCATTCACTTCATAATTATTTTATTGCTCAAGTAGATGGAAAGCAAGAAAGTTTGGTTACTAAAGCTAAGGAACACATACAACTTCTATGCAGGAAACACACTCAAGTGAAGCTATACACACAGCTAAAATCATGCAATTGCAAGATCTGAAATCGTAGGACAGCAACAGTACAGTCAATTAGGAAAAACATAACGGGAGCTATAGACCATGAAAAACTGTGTTCTTTTAACATTTTATAAAGTTCATGAAATTGTCTATAACTTTCTAATTATAACATAGGCCTTATTTCTAAGTTAACAAGATCGTAAAACACAAACAAGCACTGCTGCGCAGACATGGACAGAAACTGACAGGGAACTTCAGAAATTTATAACTGGAGTTCTAGCCAACCAAAAATATTGTTCTTTAACAATTTAGAAAGCTCAAGAAAAATACTACAACTTCCTAGTTATCAACAGAAGCTAGTTTTGAAGTTAACATGGTCGAAATACACAAAAGTCCAGAGCTGTACAGCACACAGTCAAACCTGACAGCGAAAATTAAAAAATCTATATCTCCCAAACCTAATGGCCTAAAATCATGAAATTTTAGGACAGCAGAGATACTTAAATCCTCTCCAACTTTTGTATTATCAAGATTCACAGAAAGGGTCATTTAAAACACGAAACATTCCTCCCTAACAAAACTATACAATCTGCAGTTTTCAGCACACATTGCAAAATGATTCATGCATCCCTTTACTTGTCCCCAAACAAAGCAGCACCTATTCAACTTATTTGCACAGCCAAAACCACTCCTATCCACAAAAGTTAATCATGGTCTCTAGCAAGCATGAAGAATTAGTTTTGTTCATCAGCAGATATGTTCAGATAGAGCAATTATCTCCAAAAATCTTGGACTTCACATCAAACGGCCAATTATCAGTATGAACCTGTCAACTCCAAGTGTAAACCCCTAAATTCCCCTGAACAAACATGAGCAGAAAGACCTCAACTCACTTGTGTGGTGTTGCTAACACGATCTCCTTCACCTGTCCAAGATGCACCCAATGTTGTGGCTAGGGATGCTTTGCCCTCACCATCGTCTTCCACACCTGCAAAAAGTGTGCATGATTTGAGTCATGTAAGTTAGCATTCACCTAAACTGTAGGTAATGATAGTTCATGTTTGAGGCTTGCCATTGTTGAGGTCCGGAATTGATCTACAATTCTTTAGCCTTTCCACTTCATGATTGAGGCTTGCAATGCTCCTCTCCATTTCTGTAAACTCCTTGAGAAGCTTCGAAGAATTTGAATCACATATTTCAAACATCTGGCGCTGAGAACACATTTGGCGCATCCAAGTGAGATTCTGCCCACCAGTTATACCAAGATCCTTCAAATACGAGTCAACACCTTCCCCACGTGTTACCATATTCCTATGCTCCTGAAATTTGGCTAAAGACTTCTTAAGTAACTTACGGTAATGTTGAACACTGCGGCACAACTGATCCTTGTCCACTTCGAATTTTCGCATTACAACTCTCCTCGCTAAAAGCTCCTGTTGTATACCATTGACAGTAGCTTCAATTTGTTTATCTTTTTCATTCACCATATCCTTAATGCACTCCACCTCATGTTGAATGTCCCTGCAAGTCTGTTCTTTATCCAGGTATTTATTGTTCATGCCAGACACATAACCTTGGATTTGTTGCATGAGGGCTTGGAAATGCGAAATAGTTTGGTAACTGCAATTTCCCCCACCTCCTGCTGTTGAGGAAAAAAACTTATGTTTTGACTGCCAAAAATTGGCATTTCCTCTAAGTCGCCAATGTTTTGGTTGCCCAGAAAAACCAAAGAGGCTTCTTCTTCGTCTCCCAACTGGCACTGCTGCAATACCTGATCTTTGAACCGCTTCCCAAGCGGTAAGCTCTCCGCGAAAAGCTCCGGCCTTTGGCACACCATCAGATGGAGGAGGTACGGCGCGTACCGCCATGGCGTCCCAGCTACCACCTCCCCTTGCACTACTGCCCAAACCAAGCCGCCCCAGTCCACCTCGTATGCCTTGCCTTCCTCCACCAACCGCAGCGCGGCAGCGACCTCCATCGACACAGCAACGCCGCTCCCTCCCCATCCCAGCAGCACGCGATCGCAGACAATCCCCTTCACGGCTCCGATCGCCTCCGCCGTGGAGAACACGGCCGCGTCCAACCCTGCGGGGAGGCCAACCTTGCCCATCGGCAGCCTGAGGGCGCCCGCGAGGTCGGCGGGGGAGGCGGAGACAGCGCCGCCGCAGACGGATACCATAATGCGGCCTGAAGCGTCGTCGTAGGCGGCGGAGAGCCCAAGCTCGTCGGGCGGGTGGTCGGGGAGGTAGAGCTGCGCGAACTCCCCAAGCCCCACGAAGTCGAGCACCGCCGCGTCGCGGGGGTCGGCGCCGCCGCCGCCGCGCTTCAGATGCCGCATCGGATGCTGTTTGGTGCTAGGGTTGGGTGGGGAGGCCGGGAAGATTGGGGTTTTGAGCTGCCGGACTGGGGTTTTTTGCGCAAAGAGGTTAGAGGAGACAGAGAGACGCAGTTGATTGATTTGAACAAGAGATTGGGGAGTGGGAAGGGAAGGGGCGCCACTCGGTTTCCTACTTTCCTGGCTCCTGAAACTGGCTTCTCTCACTGAAAGTGGGTCCTGTAACTTCTGGGTCCCACCGGTCAGTGGAAATAGTATTCTAAAGCAGCGTGCGTCTTCTGAGTTGAGCAGACTTGTTATGTTCGCTCGGTTTATAAGCCGTACTTTTTCAGCTAATGAACAGTATTTTTTATAATCAGTCAACAGTATTTTTAGTTATGGCTTATCAGCCAAGCGAACGGGGCAAATGGCTCGGAGTCTTTTCTCCACTCTAACATGTAGTAGACCTAAGTAGTGATAGTGCTCAGCTGTCAGTGATCTATCGAGGTGTAACGGGTCCGTGCCTACGATGAAAAAGTTTCACGCAGCATGAACACAAGAACTGACTGCTTAAGATGCTGCAAGCTACTCTCGTCAAAAAAATATATCATTCATGCTTTTTAAAAAGATCAACATTCTAACTTCGTCAAGTGGGAATAGTACCCGGCTTTTAGTGAGTTGTTTGGTTGGATGGTTAAGTCCGGATCAGGCTCCACGAAAGCCACCTTCGTACTGTTTGGTTGCCTGATTTGAGTCTAAAGCCGGTCTCCAGGAAGCCACCCACCGCCCTCTAGCCAGGCTCCAGAAAACGCAGGATTCGGTCGTTCTTTTGGAGGCAGGCTTGGCCTGGCACCGGTGCCCATTCTCCTCACCTCCGGTCTCACCAGCGCGCTCACTGTCACCCCCGACGGAACCAGCGGCGGTGGTCGTGCTCCCCTCTACCTGCGGTGGCGCGCACCCGCAGCTCCCGAGCGGCGGCAGACCCTCCTGCTATGCTCGTGGTTCACGCACGCCCAACAATGGCACTCCGACCGCTGCCTCGCCTCCTCCTCTTATCTCCTCCCAGCAATGGCGCTCAGGCCGCTTCCGCCCCGTCCCCGCGCCGAGCTTGATCTCAACGAGACCCTTTCTCCCTGCCCCCAAACCACTCCGATCCCAATCTCGTATCCGGCGAACGCGTGCCGCGGCCATGCGCCCATGCACAGTTGCTGAGAGAGGAGCGAGCGCAACGATGCCACCAGCCATGGACGAGGGCTATGCCAACCTCCCCACCAGCCACCTCCTCGGCTCCGTCCCCGTACCGATACAATCTCGCGTCAGCCGCTGCTTCCAGGTATGGGTGCTCATCGTGCTGCTCACCGTCAGTTGCTATAGTCTGGATGCGTGCTGCTCACCGTCACTTGCTCACTGTGCTGCTCTCATCACCGTGCTGCTCGTTGGGGGTGATGGCCGTGCTTGTTGGATCTCACCGTGCACCCATTTCCTGCTCTGCTCATTGGATGCTCAGTTCGTTGGATGCTCACTGCCCACCAGGTGTTCGACCAAATTTCTCAATGGAGGTAAACTTACCGATTTAAAGGAGAGGTGACTGCATCGAAACAAACAAAACACACTCTGAGGCTAATCAGGCTAACATAGTACAGACAACCAAAACCAGGGGTTAACTTGGTGGGAGTAGGCTAAAGTTGCCCAGGCTCTAGCCAGGCTAGAAGTTGGCCAGGAAATTAAACACACCCTATGAGGAGGTAACGGGTCTGTGCCTCTAGTGAAAAAGTTTTCCTGCAGCACGAACACATGAACGGGGAGGGACAGAAGAGAAGATGAGTAGTTGACTACACAAGCAATCTGGAGTACGCGTCTACCGGAGCAGTGAAAGCTCTAGTTTGGTTTTGGATAATTGATGAAACATATGCACTAACCTTTGTCATGAGTTATGATATGAGCTAGGTTGGTGTAATCCAAGTGAGGAACATTGTGGCACTCAAATGGTGATGTTGATTACATGAAATGATGAAGATGGCCACATGTGATGATGATCAAGTGCTCAACTTAGAAAAGAAGAAAGAGAAAAACAAAACCCTATAGGGATCAAGGCAAAGGTATAAATAGAGATTTTTATTTTAGTGATCAAGACACTATAGAGAGTGTGATCATATTTAGGGTAGATGGCCGTACTATTAAGAGGGGTTCTTAACAAGACAATTCGGTCATCTAGTGCCACTAGGTGTTGGACTTCATGCATTGCATTTAGGCCTAGTGCACTTCGGAGAGCAAGCGAAAATATTTATGAAAAATAATTTGAGAAATGCTAACTTGACTCTAATATATTTTGAGAAAACACTTTAAGAGTTAGCATCGTTTGTAGGGAGTAGCTCGAGTTGACGTGAATCAAATCACGTAAAAGTTTACAAATCGGAGAGCTAGTGGTGGTGCCTGGTTGGCACCGCCACCCCCTGTCAGGTGGCACCGCCACCCCTAGGGCGACGCCCACCTGGGCTCGGTAGAGAAGGGCCGAGAGCGGCTGGTTCGGGGTGGTCATCGGACACACTGGTGTACATCGCCTCAGGAGCGGCGGTGCACTGCCTGGTCACCGCCACTGGGTGTCCGGTGCCACCGGCTTATTCCTCCAAAGACGGGCGCTAACGAGGGAGGTCACCACCATGGTGATGGTGGTGCACCGCCCTATTTTTCTAGAAAGGGTTGGTTTCGAGAACTTGGCTGGGATGGTCACCGCCTCCCCTATGGTGGTGCCACCGCCATGCCATGTCCGGTGATGAGATACTAACATATATGTATGTTAAGCCTCGGGTCCAATGGTTTCCGAACGAAGAAGACCCCCCGACCAACCCCTTTAGGATCGCTTGGGGGCTCAGGGGCTATGCCCATCGGGCACGCTCGCGTGCACCCTCTGGCAAAGAGATCCGGCCGAGCTTGACTCAACCATAGCTTCCACCTAGGGCTCGGGGGCTTCCCCGAGCCTTGGGCTCCTAATCTACGGCACCTTCGGGCTTGGCCTTTGGCTCCTGCCCGGTTAACGATGCCAGCCAAGGCCTGAGCATAAGAAGACAAGCCCCAGGCAACCGATGCCCGGGGGCTCCCTGGCGTCGCTCCCAAGGCGTGCCCCTACCAACTGTTCCTCCGACAGGGTCACGTTCAGGGCGTGACACAAGAAGACAAAGCTTCCCACGGCCACCGGGGGCTCGGGGGCTTCCGGGCCCGCACGTCAACCTCTAGAACCGACCTCCTTAGCCACCAAGAAGACTCCAGAAGATCTCACCCGGGGGAGGCCGGTCCAAGGCGACACCGTCTAACATGCAGAGTGTCAGAACAGAGCAGCCAGACGACACCTAGGCTTCTTCGGCTCCAAGACACCTCGACGGTCCATGGCTCACCGTTGCAAGGCCCTCCTGGACTCCGAGCACGTAGACCATAGACTAGAACCCTCAAACCATCTTGTACCCAACCTATCTCATTATATAAGGGATAAGGTCGGACCTAGAGGGGAGAGGATCCGAGTTCGATCACCAGACACTCCATTCCATTCCATCCGCCTCCGCTCTGCACCGAGAGCAAGGCAACCCGGAGAGGGGCACCGAGAGCCTCTCCTCCACCGCATCCCGTCGTCTCCTTCCTCTTCGACGAGGGGAAGACTCCACCGGCGGTGAGGCAACCTTAGGATTAGCAACGAGCTAACCCCCTACCAAACTCTCTTCCTTTACACTCTGTTGTAACCCCCCAGATTTTGGGTGCTCTTGAGTATAAGAATCATCAACTGCTAGACGTCGGGACTAAATTGGCCCCAAACTAGGATAAAACTGTTACGTCTTCTCTACATGATTCTTGTGTTCCTGAGTCCACCCGAGCCACCGGAGACCTTGTACTCTGACATCGACTCTAACAACATGCTTATCGCGGTTTTGACCCCGCGACATCCGGTGACCAACGGCTAGTTTTCTAGCCATTGGGAAGTGACCGTTGGGGCACCGCCACCTTGGGGCGGTGTGCCACCGCCATGTTCGGTGCCCCCACACAGACAGCTCCAAGGGGTATACCGGCTCTATTTGCTTGTGTGGCTATAAATAGAGGGTGTGGTCGGCCTTAGCCACTCTCTTGGCATCTCTTACACTTGTGCACACCCTTTGGAAGCTGAGTAACACACTTCACTCACTTGTTCACTTGATTTCATCATCTTGAGTGAGATTGAAGAGCCTCTAGTGCATTGCATTGAGTTGCATCATCTTGTGGCACTAGCTGGGTGATTTGGTCTGGTTGTGAGCTTGTTACTCTTGGTGTTGGCCGACACCTAGATGGCTCGGTGATTGGAGGATCGTTGAGCGGAGTTGGTGATTGTCTCTGGCCTCGATCGGTTGCTTGTGAGGGGTCTTGTGCCTTCCCCGGTGGAGCGCCAAAGGCAACTCTAGTACATTGCTCGTGTCATTGAGCTACCTCACTTGTGGGTACATTCTTGCGGTGTCCAATTGTGTAGACGAGGTTCGTGCAACACCTCTTAGCCGCTGAACCACCAAGTGTTGGTCGACATAATGGGGACTAGCGTGCCAGCAAGCACGTGAACCTCGGAAGAAAAATCTTGTGTCCCTTGTGTGATTGGATTTCTCCTGGTGATTGAGTTATCTACATCTTGTAATTGGTTCATCCCTCGACACGCCGGTATAATCACCCTACTCACTCCTTTACATTCCTTGCAAACTTGTTATCAAGCTCTTTAGTGTAGTTTGTCTTTGAGAGCTTGTTAGTTTGGTTAGTGTGGCTCTTTTGTTAGTCTTTGAGAGCACACTAGCTTAGTGAGTAGTGACCTAGCTTGTTGTGTGTGCTAGTGATCATAACAACTAGAATTATTGGGATAGGTGGCTTACAACCCTTGTAGAGCTAGAGCAAAATTGAATTACGCAGTTTGTTGTACTAATCATTTGCTCTAGTGCCTTGTAGAGATTTTAAATAGGCTATTCATCCCGCTCTAGCCATATTAAGACCTTTCAAGTAGGCGGGTGTAGTCATTGCGGTGC